AAGACAGGAGAGGGAGAGAGAGAATGAGAAAGGGCATCATGTCAGGTGGTTAGAAGTGGTGTGCAGCTGTTGAGACTGACAGTGGGGTTACTGTAAAAGTTGCAATGAAATGAAGAGTGGCACTCACTCAGTTGGTGAGACATGGATGTATTGGCATCCACAAGAGTGGGCCTGGCCTTCTCCTGTGAGGGCCAGGATTCTCTCTTCATAGGAGCTGAGACTCCAAATGTCAAGCACCCCTTCACTTGTCCATGTCCTTTTAGCCCTTATGAGCTGCCTTCTCCTGAAATGAGAGAAAGGGAGGGATTGAGTGAAATGAAAGTGGGTGGCATGGCCATTAGTGCTGGTGCAGATTGGCGAAAGATGGTGAGGTATCCTGGGTAAGTGTGTTGGCAGTGCAAAAGCCATGTAAGGTTAAATCATCTTATTGAGCAAAAGCAAGTAAGGCAAACATTTATTGCTCATCCTTAATTGCCCAAAAGGTATTTAAGAGTTAACCACATTGCTGTGGGTCTGGAGTCACATATAGGCCAGACCTGGTAAGGATGACAGTTTCCCTCCCTAAAGGACATTAGTGAACTGGATGGGTTTTTCTGGCCATTGATCATCAATGATCAACATTACATTCTCTTAAGTCCAGAGTTGTTGAATTTTAATTCCACCACCTCCCGTGGTGGAACTTGAACCCAAGTCCCCAAGATATCACCTTAGTCTCTGTGGATTTACAGACTGGCATTAATACCACTAGGCCATAGCCAATCCACATAATACTGCAGAAAGTATTGAAAATTACAGAGCTTGAGCCTTGGTCAGAATGGAGTGCAGTAGCAGAGAAAGAGTGACTGTGATATAGCAGGATCAAGAATGTTGTACATATGCTGGCAGAACCGAGAAGGTCATTGTCCTTTTTTATAGCACTTCTGTTCATTCTTCTTCATCATCAAGATGGCACTACGTACCATTCCAAAATACTAAAATATTAAGGGCAAAGGAGGAGAACAAATAAATAGAATGACTATCAATAGAAAAAAAAATCAGGGAAAATGATGGTGCTAAAGACTGATATGTTCCCTGGATTTAATGGGATCCATTCTAGGATATTAAAAGAAGTAGTTATAGAGATGGTGAATGTACTGCTAGTAATCTTCTAAGAATTCTTATATTCTGGAAAAGTCCCAGAGGATTGTAAAACTGCCAATGTCACACATTTATTTAAAAATGGAAGGAGACAAACAAAAGCACAGAACTGTGGGCTTATTTAGCTTAACCCCTTTTGGGAAAATGCAAGATTCTACTATGAAGGATGTAATAGCGGAGCATTTAGAAATAAAGAATATGACCAAGCAAAGTCAGCATGGCTTCAAGAAGGGGAAATCATGCCTGACCTATTTCTTAGAATTCTTTGAAGAGGTAACAAGCAGGATAGATAGAGGGAAAACCATGAATGTAATATATTTAAATTTCCAGAATTTGTTTAATAAGGTACCACATATACTGGGCAGCATGATCTACCTCACAGTGCCAGGGGCCCAAGGTGCCAGGTTTGATTCCAGTCTTAGGCGACTGTGTGGAGTTTGCACATTCTCCCCATGTCCATGTAGGTTTCCTTCAGGTGTTCTGGATTCCTTCCACAGTCCAAAGATGGGAAGGTGAGGTAGATTGACAATGCTAAAGATTGCCCATGGTGTGCAGGGACACACAGGTTGGGTGGGTTAGCCATGGTAAAAACCCCATGTGGAGTTATGGGGATGGGATGGGGGGTGGAGCTGGGTGGGATGCTCTTTGGAGGGTTGGCACAGACATGACAGGCCAAATAGCCTCCTTTTGCACTGTAGGGTTTCTGTAATTCGATTCTATGATGCTATGTTTGGCTACTTAATAACATAACAGCCCATGACATTGGAGATATTATATTACCATGGGTAGAAGATTGGATTACAAATAGAGATCAAAGACTTGGAATAAAGGGGGAGCATTTTCAAGCCGATCTGTAATAATGGAGAGCCATAGAGATCAGTATGGGGCCCGAATTATTTACAATATATGTTAATGACTTGGATGAAGAAAATGAATGTTCTATAGCCATGTTTGTGCATGATACAAAAATAGATGGGAAAACAAGCTGATAGAGAGTCTGCAAAGAGATACATTCAGGCTAAGTGAATGGGCAAAAACTTAGCAGATGGAATATAATGTGGCAAAATGTGAGTTCATACACTTTGGCAGGAAGAATAGAGGAGTTAAATTCTTTTTAGTGGAGAGAGAGTACAGAAAGTGACAGCACAGAGTTTTGGGAGAATTTGTGCATAAATCACAAAAAGACTACCATACAAAGAGAATTGTGACTCCAAATTTCCTTTCTCAGATGGGCTTAGACTCTGTCCTTGACTGAGCAGGGCAGCTTTGGGATGGCAGTGCCAGTGTTCATCCAATTGTATAGTGGCCTTTAAATACGGCACCGGCATCTGGGATCCTGGTATTTTGTAAAATGTCAAGTGGCAAATTGTTCTAGGAACAGCGTGTAGTAAAATGGGGCTAGAATTGGATATGAGAGATTCTGTAAATGTGGTGTAGGTGATTAATAAGGCATGTTTGGTGAGATATGGTAAACAATCATGCTGGGCTGTAATTCTTCCAAAAAGCCCAATGCAACCCACAGCTAAAAGGATATAAGATTCAACCTCTCATGCTGCTATATTACATAGTAATCTAACTATACTTGGAATGCAATAATACAACCACTGTGCAATGATGCAAAATTGACAACATGAACCAGCAATCAGGTCCTGATCTAACTCTAGAACAGGGATAAAAAACCCCCTCCATTGCCAACTTCCATTCCCTCTTTCAGATTAGATTGATAGAAAATGGATAATAAATCTAGTTGCCTGTCAAACCTCAAACAAGAATCTGCACATCCTGCATACTTCATGAACAAAAACAAATCCTTTTAATATCCTGAAAAAGTAAACTGCCTTTCCTGCAACATCAAAAAATAATTTCTGCTTGTGGAATGGAGCTTTATGGATACAAATAAGCTCTGAAGAAGCTTCATGTCAGAGTTGAAACGTTAACTCTGTTTCTCTCCACAGATGCCATGCCTGCTGAGTTTCTCCAGCATTCTCTGTGTTTATTTCAGATTTCCAGCATCTGCAGTATTTTGCTTTTATATAAACTGACCTTGCAGGTGTAGAAAGGCAAGGCGTCAGGTTACTGGTTTTAGCACTTTGCTCCTGGTTCCCTCTTGTACAGACATCATCATGACTTAGCTCCTTACTCATGCATTCGATGACCCTCAGGTGTCTTTGGTGATCCAACTATTGCAGAGCTAGGTTTTTCTGCAATACAGAGGGCCAGTAAGGTCAACAGCTTTGTAGAATTTAATTTTAATCTTCAACTAATACAGTACTGCTTCCAGGCATAATCATAGAATCAGCTGTAAGATATCTGAGGGCAAAAAGAAATCAAGATCATAAATGCAAGTGATACAAAGAGTTGTTTTGGATCTGGGAAATCCTCCCACACTAAGATAGACACCTCAGACTCAGACAATAACCTAAACTCCAGTCATGGCTTCCGGGATCCATCTCCAACTTTTCCAGCTTGCGGATGGGACGGCCATCTCCATTTAAAATCTAGGCCTTAGTGTCTAGTTATCATTCTAGTAATTCTGAGCTGTATTCCAAGATGCTGCATAGCTGCATTGCCCAGAATTGCTCATTGTATTCCTGGTCTAATTTGACCAAAGCTTTGTATAGCTGAAGTATGATTTCCATGTACATTTTAGTTCTGTGGGAAGAAAGGCCAGCATTCCATTAGCTTTCTTGATTATTTTCTAATCCAAATGATACTATTCTAATGATCTACATACCTGAACTCAAGTGTCTTCTAATGGTCACAGCTTCTAGCTATTCTCCATTTACGAAGTACCCTGTTCCATTCATTTAGGTCCCAAGTTGCTGACCTCACATTTGCTTATATTGAAATTCATTTGCCATAGGCTTTTGCCCATTTTCTGAATCTCTCAATATCTCTTCAATTCAACCTTTGCCTCTATGCTGCTTGCAGTAGTGTCTTTTTTATGTCATTGGCAGATTTGGATATGTGTCTTTCTATCCCACCATTTAAATCATTAGCCAATGCACTGAATAGCTGAGGCCCTAAACAGAACCTTGTAGACACCTCAAATCACATCCTGCCAACTAGATTAACTGTCCTAAATTTTGTCACTTGTGGCTAAGCCAATTCCTTAACCCGGTAAACAATTTGTCTTCAATTCCATGCGCTTCAACTTTAACTAACAATCTCTTATCATGGATTTCATTAAATGCTTCTGGAAGTTTGGATGATTAACATTCAGAGATGTTTTTGCCCATGTTCCTAATATAGTGCCTTCTAACCTAGTGACTTCTGCCACCTTGAATCGGAAGGCCAGACGATGCAAGGGAGCACCACCATCTTGAAAGTTCACTTCTAAGTCACTCACTATCCTGACTCGTAACTAAGTCACATTCTTTCACTGTCACTTGATCAGGATTCCGCAAATCGGTCCGCTACAGCAATATAGATGTAACTGCATTGCATAGACTTCAAGAAGGTGGTTCACCACAACTTCCCAAGGGCAATTAGGAATGCCAGCTTTGCCAACAATACCCATATCCCAAGAACAAAAAATAAATTCCCATCCATTACATTAGTTACCTCTTTCAAAAGAGTGCAATCAGGGTCATCAGCCATAATACAATCTTAATAAATATATTAAAAACATAAATTTCTGGAAAAACCCAGCAAGTCTGGCAGCATCTATGGAAAGAAATCGGTGTTAACGTTTTGGGTTGAGTGATTCTTCCTCAGAACAGAGGAATTGCAATTTCTGTTTTTGTTTCTGATTTACAGCATCTGCAGTTCTTTTATTTTTTAAAATAAATATATGATTATTACCTCCTATTGACTGAAAAGTGTCAAAGTATTCAGTCACTGGTACGTTGTGTATTCTACAGATTTTCTTCTGTTACCTTATACTGAATGAGGAAAGGATGATTCCAGTCCCTATTTACAACAATGCTGTAATACAGCAATAGAGGAAATAATGGGGTAGAATTTTCACAGTGGTTCATTGATCACTGACTATAACTTCAGTTGGAGATCTGCAGACAGCTTGGAGAAACAATGCACACAGCCGACATCTTCAGAGGTCTCTACTGTTTTCCACGGATGTCATGACAGGAAATTGTAAGGAAACCAAAATTCCAGTGGTACATTTTCTCATTTCACAAAATAAGAAGAGCAATTCTTCCTCCATGGCATTCACTGTAACAAGGTTCATCACTGCCTTCAGCAAGAATGACTATTTGAAACTGTGCCACAGAAGCTGTGATTACAAGAAGAAATGAAGTTACAGTCTTAGAATACAAAGGAACACCCACAAAATGAAACACAGGAAAGGAGTGAGAGAAACATAAATCACATTTATGGCATCTTGTGAAAAATTGAATAAGCTGCCACAATTGGAACATAACTCTGACAAACCTGTTCAGACAGAATCACCAAATTAAATTGTATCCAGTAGTCAAAAGTTACATAGAGAGTATGCTTAGTAAATTTGATGGAAATCCTTGGAGATTTTTTGGAAATGCAATCCTATGGTCATTTATTAAAATAATTTTGAGCCTTGTTATTATTGGCTGTGAGCAGATTGCAATGATGCTGGTTGCGTTTGTGAATTAAGGTATCCAATCTTCTTCTCCATTCAACACATAGTAAGCTGAGCACTGACAGGAACACCCATACTTCACTGTACACTGGTTCACCCATTAACCTATTTCATGTTAGACTAATAATGACACCATGGCAATGTGTATGGGTTATTGGTATGTGAGACTAGAGTGCAGGAACTGAAATACTAAGATACAGAACATTTTATTTTTTGAAACTTGATGACAACAAGAAATAAGAAAGATGTGTTAGCAGATTTAAATTGATTGGGTATTCAGTTTCCTTTTAATGTTTTCACCCTTGCTATCAATCAACAGATGGCCTGCTATACAATAAGCTTAGGAAGTGTAAAAACCATAATTTAAATTAATTCAGAAACACACTGAGGTGAATAATAGTTTGAGGATTATCAGTTCAGGGCATTAGCTAATAAAAATGTGTCCACTTATATATCACCTTATTACAAAACTCAGGCATTTTATATCCACTGAGAAGAAGACCCAAAGTTCTATTTGTCATCAATTGTAGTTTTGGAACTAATTATACGAAGTGCCAGTTCACAACAGTAATACTATTTTTCTTTCAGTCAGAAACTAGAAGAGAAAACTCTTTTGGTCCTTTTTTGCAGTTTCCTGATTTTATGTCAGAAGTTAATTGTACTCATTTCACAATATTATTATCAGTAAAATATGTGATAGATGACCTTGAATAAGGATGGAATACTGAAGACATGAGTGCATTGTATTGTGTGGATGATAGCTTGCCCAGACTGTCTCCTGCAGATTAGTGCATTAAAAAACATAGCACTGTAATCCGTTGAAAGTGAGTCTCAAGAATTTAGGGCCCTGGTTTCTGAAATAATGAAGCTGTCAACATAGTATATTATCCTTTCTACTGACATCAAATATTTTCTCTTTCATCTGACTTCTTATGCTTTCTTGCAAAGTAGTGACTACTGAGTATTATTCCACATAGAATAAATTTCAGCAAGTAACTCATTTTGCAAGGTTCTTCCAAGATAGTAAGATCCAAAAATGAGAATTAGATGCATGGCAAGTGGATTTGAGGCCACAATCAGATCAACAATGATCTTATTGAATTACAGAGCAAACTTGAGGGGCTGATGGCTTAGCCTTCTTGCTTTCCCCCTTTTATTTGTTAAATCATGGGATGTGTGTGTCACTGGTTGAGTCAGCACTTGTCCATCAAACTGAATGGCTTGCTAGGCCATTTAAGAATCAAACACACTGTGCTCCAGTAGGCCCAGATCAGGTAAGGACATCAGTAAACCAAATGGGTTTCAATAATCAATTTATCATTTTTCTAACTGAATTCAAATTTCACTATTGGCTATTGTGGGATTTGAACCCATGTTCCAGACCATTAACCTGAATCTCTGGAGTACTAGTTTAGTAACTACTACTCCACCACTACACCAACAACTGTTACCCTCCACCACCATTCCCCCTCCCCTTATCCACCACTCTCCAATCAATCCACATGGATCCTTTTCTGTTCTTAACCTTCTTTGTATATTTGTTGTATTATTGGTTCAGACTTCCTGGTCTTAATGAACTGATAGATTTACATTGGGGTTGGTACTGCTTGCATGGGACTGGGAGTGTTCTACTGATAATATAAATGCAACATTTAACACAAAATTGAAACAAGCAACTGGCCCACAGTTTATTGACTCATATTCTGTGATGACAAAGAAGATGTGAGCTGGAACTTATCTGTTATTACTGAAAGCAACTTCAAGGATGCAAAATAATGCAGAAGTCCAGAAATTACTTTTGGGATACATTTCTCCACTTATGAGGCACTGTCAGATTACAATAAATGTAAAATCTATTGACTCATTGTGCTGTTAGTCTCACTGTAGAAACCAAAGAAAAATTATTCCTTGTTGAGTGAGATAATTGGATTTTGAAAACATATTAATTTCATAACTATTGCTGAACACCCTCACTTGCTCTGGAACACTAACCTTTATTTGTAGGATGTCAAATTTCTCAATCAAGCCAGAAAGTTTTACATATTTGTAATTTCTAAAAAAAAAATATAAATTATATAGTTTCAATTAAATCTAGCCATAATAATTATAATAGCCATAATTTTGTTACCTGAAAATTTTAATGAAAAGTAAGGTAAAGTTTTTGTTTAATCTTCCTAGTTTTCTGTTGTTGGGAATATCTTTTTATCATTAAAGAGTATGAAGAAATTGAATAGGAAATTGTTTGAGCATTCTGGACTAAAAAAGTTCACCAAAGTTTTGAATGGACATTTGAGAAGTGAACCACTTGTCAATTACTTAAAAATGAAGTAACTTTGGAAAAGTGACAATTAATGTTTTTAAGAGTGGCAAGAGATGAGATTTATGGCTTTAATTGCTGCACAAAATTGGTTTGGAAGAGATGGAGCTTGTGTGTTGAACATTGCCTAGAAATACTCTTCTGGAGTTGGTTCCTGCTTTTTCGTGACTTGAGGATGTGAGTCAAATTTAATAAGCTTCTAAAATATGCAATCTACAAGTTTCTTCCTCCAGAAAATACAAGATGAAACCTTTAAAGAGGACAAACTGCACAGAGGTGTCTCTTAATGAAATATTTCTGGGAACTTGAAAATATTCCAAATATTAGACTTTGAGTACTCAATAAACTCTGAAAGCTGAATTGTTACTTTTGTTTAAATACCTAAAATCTAACGAACTTCCCATCTGAACTGAACACTTCCAATTTGAACTGGCTTGAAGATTTTCCTTGACTCATTTACTCATTATTTTGCTCTCATTAACAGAATATTTAGGGAATCATGAGATGCCATCCTATTTTATCCTTTGTGTTGGAACTATGAGCCCTCAGCATTTATTTGTTTCTTTAAAAAGAAACATATACTCTTTACATAGCTGTATTGCCTTGTTTGTTGTGTGAATGTGCTTGTCTGGGATTAGGGAGAAATAATTCAATTTCCAAATGATAGTTCAGTTATTAACCAAATTTTGCAACTTGTTTAAAAAGTGTTTTGTTAATAACAAACAAGTTACTTTTGAATTTCTGGTGAAAACCCAGTGAAATTCTCTTTTATTATGGATAACAGTAATAAAGGGAAACAGTTTGATCTTTTTGGTGATTGACTTAGCACATTGACACTAATGGCACAGTTTGTGGAGTAGCGGGGCTTGATTGCAATTGCATTTCCATTGCATTTAAGGGAGGAGATGGCCTATTGGCATTATCACTAGACTGTTAATCCAAATTCCCAGGTAAAGTCCTGGGAACCTGAGTTCGATTCCCAACATGATGGAGGGTGGAATTTGAATTCAATAAAAATCTGAAAGTCTATTGACGACTATGAATCCATTGCTGATGGTCAGGAAAAACCCATCTGGTTCACTACTGTCCTTTAGGGAAGGAAGCTACTGTCTTTACTTGGTCTATCCTACATGTGACTCCAGACCCACAGCAATATGGTTGACTCTAACTGCTTTCTGGGTTTATTAGGGATGTACAATGAATGCTGACCTTGCCAACAATGCCCACATCCCATGAGTGACTAAAACAAAAAACTCCCCCTGTCAGTGTAGCAAAATGTGAAAAAAATTCTATGTAACTGACTGCTAACCCAACTTGCTGACATTACGTTTACTGCATGCCTGGAAATCCTCATGACTATTCGGAAGATTGAAGAACATGCCACAACAATTGTTACATTTGTGCAGAGAGCTTTCTTCAATGTCACCACAGAGCACCTTGCTTTCTCACAGACAATAAAATCCATGCTAGTTGCATATACAAAGGAAAGAACCTCAGACAATGTTACATTTGTTCAGTACAGGTAGTTCTCCTGTGACGCGATAGATGCATTCTTGTCTGACCTCGCGCTATAGAAAATCGCTATAGAAAATTGCATTATGGGGAAGTTGCCACAGAAAATCACTATACCTGTACAGCAGAAAGTTTGCATTATCCAAACAGCGTCATCAATTGCTTTACAACCAATTCGCATTAACGAAACACACATTTTAGCAGAACTACCTGTATTGCGCTGGAATAATGGACTAAATTTTGTATTTGTGTCCTTAGCACACACGATTCTGAATGAGAAGGGAAATACAGTTTGTAAAAAGGTAAATTTAGAAATTATATTTCATATAAATCTGTTACAAGATCTCTTTCAAATATTATAGTCACCAAAATGTTGAATGGAGAATATAGAAGAAACTTGCTTTTCAGAAAGTGGTGAGAATATGGAACTCATGATAGTAGGAATGATGAGAGAGTTGGGGTAGGGGAAATTAGTTGAGGCAGACATATTTGAGGAAAAGGTAAATACCGTATGAGGAAGAAGAGGCTCGACAGTTATGCTGTTATTTAGATAAGGAAAGCAAGAGCAGGCTTGAGTGAAGAATAAATACCAGCATTGTCCAATAAGGCTGAACAGCCTC